CTCGTTTATACTTTTCCAAAGTACTATATTACTGTTTTAGAAAAAAATAAAGAAAACATGAAAATATACTTGCATTTTTTCATAAAAAATGCATTCTTCATAAAAATTTTTGCTGGTTCTAAAATGGTTAATCCCGTTTACACTTTTCCATATTTTAGAGAAAATTAAAAAAAAACATGAAAATATAGTTGAAGTCCTAAAAATCAAAAGGCGTTTCTCTTTCTCTGGTAACATAATTTCGATTTCATTCTTTGATAGATGCAATGACTAAAGAATCCAAGGACAAATAACACCCGAGAGCAAATTGTGACGATGTCACCAAACAGTGCCGTGGCACATATTTTTCTTAACCTAGCTGTTTGAAGAGATATTTATATTTTTTGATAAATGTTTTGACTACGCCTATGGTTTATACGGTAGTATCATACTAATTAATTACGAAACAAACGTATTAAAATGTTAACAAAAGGTACAAAATTAGTATCGACGTATAGCACACATCAAGTACATATAATATCAGAAAAATAATTATCGAATTCAATAAGAAAACGCTAAAAAGGTCGAGCGGACTGTTTATTTACCTATGAAAACGTAACTCCTGGCTCTTTCTTATCGCTGCTGCTTTTACACTTGAAAGCTGAACAACTAATCACCATTGTAATAAAGTTTATACAAAGTTCATTATACAGAATCTATTAAAAATCGCTAAAATTGTCGCTGGTTACCAGATGACTCATTGTTTGCCATCAAGAGAATGCCGTTTAAGGTTACAAATTCTGCTGCAGCCCGTATATGGGCGTTATATGTCCTTATATTCTTTAGCCATTGGATAGATGATTATTATTAATTTTGATTAATGCCAAATGTTTTGACGTTGTTAAAGTATCACATTTTCCGAAAGGTCACTCTTTCCGTAGCATTTAACTAAATAAATTTTGTGCTTATTTAACATTTTAAAACAGCAGAAAAAATGAGTTAATCAAAAATTCTCTCAAAAACAATCTATTACAGAGCCACCTGGTGATCCGGAAGAAACTAATGGAGAGTTTTGGCATAACATGATTTTAGCGTTCTGTTAGGTACTTATTAACGGTAACTAAAACGGTAACGTTATTCAAGCACAAAATTATTCCTTGTAAAACATAAAATAATAAATTCAGACTTTTTACTATATTTTATGTTTCATTAGATCATTAGAAGTGAAACATAGTCAAAATAAATTAAAATTATGAGACATAATATATTTTAAACACCAACAATAGAGAGTTTAAATAACAAAAATTAAAGAAAAAGTTTGTCCTCCTGTAAAAAACAATCTGGAGACATACTGTACAATATAGGAAAAAAATAATAGGATATGCTTAATACCTTAGGCGACTGATTGTGTTTTTATTTTTTTTATTATTAATAACACATCAACGGGTTGTTGTTAAAACTCATTCAAGTCAATATTTTTTCGTCGTTTTAGTATTAGTATAGCTTTATACTACAAAAAACATAATGTTGTAACCCTGGCTAGGTTTAATTAGATTTAAATTAACTAATCTAATCAGGTTTAATTAGATTAGTTAAGTTTAGGCTGCTGAATTAAGAATTTGTACCGCATCCATGGGCGCCGGACGGGGGGTACCGTATTCGAAAGAAAAACAGCGTCCAGTTGGCTTGGAAATGCGAACAATGACATTCATCGTATAATATTATATATATATAAAATGACAGCGATCTTCAGTTCATAGCCATCGCTGACGCCATTGTATTAGCATATAGGTCTGTTTTAAATTGTATAATGTAGAAATAATCCAATTAGATTTATTATTATAGTATACCTTATCTAGATAAGTGGTAAAGATTGAGGTTTTTTTTATAAAATATATTTTTAAATTGATACGGTTTAGGTTTAAAAGATTAGAACAGCATTGCGTTATTTAGAATGAGTTGATTTGTTTAGAAGATAATGGAATGTTTACTTTAAAAATCAGACTGATTATTTGGAACTATAAATTTGATCTTCAATTCAACTAGAAACAATGGAAATACTTACAGATATTGTGTGGAATTATAACAATATTATTTATTAACTCGATTTTATTGACATATCTATTCTCATCACTCATAAATAAATAAAACTTGGCAATGAACGAGAACTGTCATAAATATTTTATTAGAGGTATTCATAAAATATGATAATAATTATTACTGGATTAAGATAAGCTGTAGTATTTTAGGATTCGGAATTTTTGCTTTATTGTGAAAGTGAATCTATATAGTATACTAGAAGTAAGCACGTTGTTGTTTCTTATAAGTACATATTTATGTATTAATTGATTAAGGAATTTTACAATAATATTATTATTAATTATGCAGAAATTCTCGGCAATGCAGTTCACTTTAAATAATAGACAATTATATCTATGCCATATTATATTTTTCTAATAATTTAGTTATATAAACGTTTCGACCACAATCCTGTCTCCGGTCTTCATCAGTTTCTCTAAATTGGTAGAAGAAAAAGTAGAAGAAAAAAAATCACGAAATAACACATTAACCAATTTTTTATATTGACTTACCTACATGTCATATTTATAAATTATTGTAAATCCACACACATAGTTATACCACAGCTTATACAATAACACAAACTAACTTATAAAATAACGTAAACTATAAATAAAATATAAGGTTATATTTATCCCTCAATACAAGTTAAAATCGCACTGAGGTCTCCGCATATCTACTTGGTACCAGCCAGGAATTATTTTTTGAGCATTTTTTAGCGTTTTTTTTATATAGGATGTTAATATATTAATCAATTTACATTTACTAAACGTTCTCTAACCCAGTGTGAGTACATATTATCAAAGCAAACCTTTGAAGGAGGGTAAAAGGACAATAACTCACAATAATAAACATCTTAAAGATTGTGAGTTATTGTCCTTTTACACCCTCCTTCAAAGGTTAGCTTTGACAATTTACGTTTTTTTGTGTTGTTTCTATTTTTAATTAATAATATTGTAATATAACCTGCTTAATTGTCTAATATCTGTTTTGTCATTTTTTTGTTTTTTATTATTTTTTATATAAATAATTTCCAAGAAGTCCCTTTTTTATTTTTCTCGGTTTTTGAAATTTTAGTATCTTGGAATCTAAAACTATGTCCGTCATGTTTATGTAGGGCGTTTTTTTTTATCATATTTGTTTCCATTTAGACGATTTTGTAATAATTGTGATGTTTGCCCTATACGAGTTTCTGCATAATTTATAAATATTACAGAACAAGAAATTAAGCTAAATTAATATTATTATTTATATACTTGTATAACTTTCTAATTTGGACACGGTAATTATCAAAATATTATAGTTTTTCATAGGAAATTGGATTTTAATATTATATAGGGAGTAGGTAAAACAATAAGTACAAAAAAAAGGAGAAAATGTTATTTTATGTAAAATGTTTCGATTTGTCGTTTTCATAAATGCGGCGCTGATAGCCAGCTGATGTTAAATTATGTAGGGTTTGGTAGGGTTTTTCGATAAAATTATTATCTGAGTATATACATTATTTGGGTATACCGGGTGCGTCTCAAAAGTGGCTCACCCCTATAACTTTTTTATTTTTTCAGATAAAAAAAACGAGATTTGGCATGTTAGTATATGACATATTGGGACTAATTGACGTATTCTATTGTTTTCGGTCACTTCGTGTTTCACCGGAAATGACATACAACTTTTGATTTTTAAATAGCACCCCCGGTATATTTTTACTTTATTCGATAGAAAATGATATTCTGAATAGAATGACGTATATCATATGTCAACTTTTGACATTTTCATATATGGTTTATTTGAAATTATAACTTGCGGTTCGTAACGAAAATTTGACTTAAAATACAAAGTGTGTGGTATCAAATTATTCGTAAAAAAATGCTTCTTCCAAATATGCTAATGAACCATCCTCGTTCCATTTGAAAAAATTGAGATATGATTAAAAGTACGATTTGGGATTTGGGCATTTTTTAACAGGCCAGGACATAAGACACTAAAAACATTAGACGATTAAATCTATTTTTCCAAGGCTCCTTGATTAAGAATTAGTGTTCTTAACATAGTCATGTCACTCTAGATTAAGATTTAAAATATAATTTTTTTATTAAGAGAGAATGTCAAAATTTGACATATGATCAGAGATGTCATTCTATTCAGAATATCATTTTCTATCGAATAAAGTAAAAATATACCGGGGGTGCCATTTAAAAATCAAAAGTAGTAGTCATTTCCGGTGAAACAGGAAGTGACCAAAGACAATTGAATACGTCAATCAATCCCAATTTATGTCATATACTAACATACCAAATCTCGTTTTTTTATCTGAAAAAATAAAAAAGTTATAGGGGGTGAGTCACTTTTGAGACGCACCCAGTATATTTGTGGCCAAATACACGTTTTTTAAATAGCTACTTCTGTATCAATATTTTACTATATTTTTATCTCCGACTTTAAAGACAAAAATTTTCTAGCGAAAACAGTCAATTTAGAAACATTTTTCTATCTATAATTATTTTTTTACATAGAGTACTTAGCAAGGAAAAAATCATATTAGTAATGCCATTAGAATTGCATACTTAATTGGTAAAAAACAGTATTGGCTTGTCATAATTTTTTTCTATAATTGATATAATAATATGACAAATGAATTACACTCTTTGCGTGGTGAACGGGCTTGCGAAAATTGAAGTTGTTTATTGTATTTGTGTCAATATGCTTGACTCACCCTGTATAATAAAGCAAAATATAATTTTGAAAAATGATCTGTAGCAATACCTCTATATTTAACAAAAAAATAAGTGAAAACTAGAAACTAGGATAGACTCAACTCATTTTTTATCTGCAATTGTAGCTTTATTATTTGTTTACATAATTTTAAGATTTACGTAATGATTACCAGTCCTTATAATAGTCATTATTATAAACTATTTCATAATTTTGTAACACTGACACTCTGTGAAAGTCTTTTTAAGACATAACATTTTTACTTCAATCCATTTTCGCCATTGTATTCGAACTGAAGGATGCTCTCTTTTGAAAGAAGCATGCGCAGTAATCTTTCCACCCCCGTATTATCGACAAAATTTCGTCATCCATAGTTCTCTGATACTAATTGTAATTTTGTTGTAGATTGCGTTCCTAGCTTTGCGGCTGATAACAGCCTATGAAACAAGATAACTGCCAGGCTGATATTAAATAGATATCGAGGAAGTTGAACCAGTCATCGGCGAAGGTTGCCCTGGTGTGCCGCATATTCTACTCGAGTTCAACCACTTTCTCCGAGACGATGTTACGCTGCGTATCGTCATCGCGTCGTTTATAATTTAGTCTGAGTCTCGCCGCGTGTACTAACAATTTATTTCGGTCGCGGTCAAATACGCTAAAATGTCCAGCGACATTATCGGTGGAATTGAAGGCGGCGCGTCACACACGTACGTGGTATTAATGAACCCACAAGGAGAAGTGATAGGGGTCGCCAAAGGCTTGGGAACAAATCATTTCCTGATTGGCATGGACGAATGTCGAAAAAGGATTGCCGAACTCGTCGATAAAGCTAAAACGCACGCGGGAATCCCAACAGATACTCCTCTGGCCGGTCTAGGGCTAAGTCTCAGCGGCTGTGAAGTCGAAGAATCCAATCAGAAGCTGGTCGAAGGATTCCTAGTGACGTATCCGAATCTATCGCAGCGATATTATTGTGCTTCGGACACCTGTGGATCCATAGCCACAACGAGCAACAAAGGAGGTGTAGTTTGTATAGCTGGCACCGGTTCAAATACTCTGCTCATTAATCCAGATGGTAGCAGGACGCAGTGCGGGGGCTGGGGAAATATACTTAGTGACGAGGGTAGTGCGTGGAACATAGCATATCTAGGGATTAAGTACTGTTTCGACGATTTAGATAATTTTCACAAAGCTCCGCATCCGATCGACAAGGTTTGGACTTTAATTAAGAGACATTTTAACATCCGGGACCAATTCGGTATGCTGGACATTGTATACAGAAATTTCGATAAGTCTAGAATAGCTTTACTGTGTAAGTATTTAGCCGAGTTAGCGACGGAAGGTGATCCGTTGGCTAATAACATTTTTAACACGGCTGGTACAGATCTTGCCAGAAGCATAGCAGCAGTAGCGGATAAAGCGGCACCAGAATTGATGAACAAAAAAGGCGGTTTAAACGTCGTATGTGTCGGTTCAGTGTGGTTAAGTTGGGACTTATTAAAAGATGGGTTTGTTACATATTTAAACGAGAACTCAAATATTGAAAGACTAAGTTTATTGAGACTTAAAACTGAAATGGGAGTAGGTGCCGCGCTGATGGCATCTGATAAATTGAAATTGAGATTGGACAGGGACTACTCCAAAAATTATACTATTTTTTACTCGTATAGTAAAAGAAGTGAGTGTAACTGCAACAATAAATTATAATTTAATCAATTTACGATAATTGCATTAAAACATCGACATTTTGAAATCCGATACTTCTTTGAAAAATTTTGATTCATTTAAATAACTGAAGAACGCTATTTTTACGCATAATACAGGGTGGTCCGAACTGTATTGCGGAAACTTCGGCAGCATGCTCTGCAGCTAAAAATAAATAAAAAAGTTCGTATAAATGTAAGTCCTTAGAAATTTCATTTTTATTTCGATTTTTTCCAAATAATTTCTGAAGTACCCTCAATATTTGGATGAAAATTGGTGTCTGGGAGTTTTTTGACATGAGAAATTAGATTTTGATGTTAATATGACTCCTATTTGTAGGGGGCGCTACCTACATGTGTTTTAACTGTTTTGAAGAGTAATAACTTTTCCTCTGTACCTGTACTGAGTGAAAAAATACACATTTCCGTGACATTTTACGTAAAAAAATGTCTCTTGGTAAAAATCGCTACACGCAACTGTTCTCAAGATATTTAGAATGGAAATAGTTAATACATGTCATTATTGGAAAAAAATAAACACGTTGAGTAGGTAGTTATTTGACTGAAATAATAAATTTGGAAAATTTTTATTTTTTTAAATAAATTTTTCTGTGAAAAAATGATGATAAAACAGTTTCTGTCGAACTTTTGGCACAAAACAATTCAAATTTATGATTTCAATCTAATTACTATTTAGTTAATACGTTTAATTTATGTCAATGATGACAGGTATTGATAATTTCGATTTCAAATATCTCGAGAACCATTACCTACTCGTAGCGATTTTTACCAAGAGACCTTTTTTACCTAAAAGACGTTGCAAATGTATATTTTTTTACTTAGTAATTTTATACAGGTACGGACGAAAAGTTATTACTCTTCAAACCAGTAAGAAATATGTAGGTGGCGCCCCCTACAAGTAGGAGTCATATTGACATCAATTCAAATTTTTCATGTCAAAAAAAGCTCCCATGCAGACACCAATTTTCATCGAAATATTGACGGTACTTCATAAAATATTTGGGAAAAATAAAAATGAAACTTCTACACCCTGTAACTAAGCATTCTAGGACATACATTTATAAGAACTTTTTTACTTATTTTTATCAGCAGAATATACTGCCGTAGTTTCCGGAATACAGTTCGGACCACCCTGTAGATTCAAATCTTTTTTATAGATTTTACGATATTTTATATGATTATAGAAATAACTAAAAGTCACTAGTGTGTCAAATAGGGCTTTATTACAATTTTAAGTAGTGTTTTAAAATGTACAGCTTTTACATTTTTTTAAGTGAATAAATCTAAGTGAATATCAATTTAAAAAAAAAATAGATTTATTGGGGACATTAAGATTTTTTAAAATTTTTAACAATGAGAAACCTGTATGTTTCATAATTTATATTTTTTATATGTTGTATATTTTTTAGAAAAAAAAATGTTATACCAGTATAGGAATATTTTATTCAAGGAATATTATTTTTCAGGAATAAATTGAAAATCAAAATATGATAAATTATTTTTTTATTCTTTATGTATTTATTGACCGTTTAATTAACTTCCTGAATATTTAGAATTTTATAATCAACGAATATGTATGTATATTTTGTATATAGTTGCCCTAAATACAAAATGAGTTATCATGTATTATGCCATAGATTATTAAGCTTCGACAAAAATATAGTTATATATTATTAAATTTTAACTCTAGATTTGTTGATATTTTTAATAAACATTTTCATTAAGAGATTAGTGTATTTTTTATGTTATTATTGTCCGAATGAAATAAACAAAACCATAGATATGTATAAACATAAACTAAAAACACACATTGATTTATTTTGACCGAACATATACAGGAAAAAAAATATAAACATATACAATTTGTTTATTTACAGTTTGACCACAGACCTGATGTGCGAGTGTTAAATAAATAACTTTATTTATAGCAAAATCATTTAGGAATTACATACACCCCGTTCAGAACTGTATTATCTTCTCGATTATCTCCGAAAAAATGATTTTGAAATTATTTCAAAAACAATACCCTTTTAATCTGATTTATGCCCAGAAGAATGCCAGTAAAATTCTAAAAGAACTCATTTTATAAGAGTCATTTTAACATCCGGGACCAATTCGGTATGGTCGATATTGTATACAGAAATTTCGACAAGCCTAGACTAGCTTTATTATGTAAGTATTTAGCCCAGTTAGCGACGGAAGGTGATCCGTTGGCTAATAACATTTTTAACACGGCTGGTACAGATCTAGTCCAGTCATCTTAGGGGTTTCACCTCGGAATTCGAGATAACCGGCTGTAAATTCGTATAAACCTTTATTTTAACATCCTAAAACATGTCTCAAAACTTACATATGATAGCGTGTCCGCGACTTGTAGATAACTGAGGTCAAAGGTCAAAAAATCGATTTTTTGTGCATTTTTTGCAAATATCTCGTTCCCTTTCACATTTACGCTATTTATATTTATTATAAATATTGTAGAGGATAAAATTCTCTACAAGTTTTGTTTAAAATTTTTTTTTACCTCAAACCGTTTTTGAGATAGAGTGCAGTGAGCGCGCAGTCTTTCATTATGTACGGTATCATTCAAGTTCAACCTGTAGTCTCGGTCAAAAACACGCCGGCGCCGTATAAAGTCCGTTAATTATTGAAAAATATATAATTATAAATAATTTACATTTTTTCATAAAAGATCATATTGAATATAATAATTTTGCTGAACACAATATTCTGCAACTGCAAGAATGGTTGTGGTTCGCGATGTAGATGCAGGAAATCAGGGTTGCCGTGCTCTTTAGCTTGTGGCTAGTGTAATGGGCAAGCTTGTCTCAATGCTTTACCCTATCAGAGTGATGTCAAGGAAGATGGTACATTTGACTCCGAAACCCTAGAAGACTTGGAGACAAATGTCGTTGAAGATGAAAATGAAGAAGAATTTGAAATTCCACAACGACCAGACGACGATGATGAAGAAGAAGAAGAAAACTAAAAATAAGAACATGGAGTTCTTTTTATTTTTATTCAATTTTTTTAATTTCAACCATGAGAAATGTATGAAATCGTACTTTTTAATAGACATATAAATTAAAAATGTATTTCTTGTCTTTTTATTTACTTAAAATGTAATTAGTGCCTATAAATCTAACTATAATTAAAATGTAATTAAAGTATTTCTGTTAATAATTTTCTAATTGTACAAAGAGGTAAGTGTTATTAAATGAAGATATACTTAATTTATGAAAAAAAATATTATATTCAATATGATCTTTTATGAAAAAATGTAAATTATTTATAATTATATATTTTTCAATAAATAACGGACTTTATACGGCACCGCACCGTGTTTTTGTTTACTACTAACTACTAACTTTTGTTTTTCACAACTAAATTTAGATTTGTTGCTTTAAATGCCAGAAACAGATAGCCCAACATTTTCAGATTGTTTACAAATTTATTTTAGGAAATTTTCCTCTATTATGCACAGAATTGGTTAAAAAAGTAACAGAAAATAGCAATAACATCATTGTTTATTGAATACCTAACAAAATATGTGCTAGAAAACCTTAAAAATATGAGAAATTAAGAAAAATTCGATGTTAAATTAATTTTCCGTTTTTCTGAAAACCGGTAAGAGACAGCCAAGAAAAAAGATCATTCAGATTCGTAATCTACGACCTCAAAATAGGGTGTATACTAATTTTGGTAAAAATCTGACAATTTCCAGTTTTCCCAATAATTACCGAAGACTGTAATATACTGTGATATTTATAAAAATTGTTTTTAATAAATATTGTATCCATAATGATTACCTTTTCTTGAACTTCCAAAAACACACAGCGTATTCTCATTTGTTGAAAACTCTGCTGATGAAACACAAACTGTTTTACAACCTTTTTCGTGTAGAAAATCAATTGCCTTCCATATATCATTTATATTTTCAATTTTTATGTTTGTTGTAAATTGGTTTGTGACCGAGACTACAGGTTGAACTTGAATGATACCGTACATAATGAAAGACTGCGCGCTCACTGCCCTCTATCTCAAAAACGGTTTGAGGTACAAAAAATTTTTTGAAACAGAAGTTGTAGAGAATTTTACCCTCTACAATATTTATAGTAAATACAAATAGCGTAAATGTGAAAGGGAACGAGATATTTGCAAAAAATGCGCAAAAAATCGATTTTTTGACCTTTGGCCTCAGTTATCCACAAGTCGCGCACACGCTATCATATGTAGGTTTTGAGACATGTTTTAGGATGTTAAAATAAGGATTTATACAAGTTTACAGCCGGTTATCTTGAATTCCGAGATTCCTACCCTATTTCGACTAAGATGACTGGACTATCGCAGCAGTAGCGGATAAAGCAGCATCAGAATTGATCAACAAAAAAGGCGGTTTAAATAAACGTCGTATGTGTCGGTTCAGTGTGGTTAAGTTGGGACTTACTAAAAGATGGGTTTGTTACACATTTAAACGAGAGCTCAAATATTGAAAGACTAAGTTTATTGAGACTTAAAACTGAAATGGGAGTTGGTGCCGCGCTGATGGCATCCGATAAATTGAAATTGAGATTGGACAGGGACTACTCCAAAAATTATACTATTTTTTATTTGTATAGCAAAGGAAGTGAGCGTAACATCAAAAATAAATTATAATTTACCCAAATTACGATAATTGTATTAAAACATCGACATTTTTGATTCAAGTTGTGATTCATTTAAATAACCGAAGAACTCTTTTTAAAGTAGATTTTAGGAAATTTTATATGATTATAGAAATAACTATGTCACTAGTGTGTCAAATAGGGCTTTATTACAACTTAAGTAATGTTTTAAAAGTACAGATTTTAATTTTTTTTAAGTAAGTAAAAAAAATAGATTTATTGGAGACATTAAGATTTTTTTTTAATTTTTAACGATGATAAATCTGTATGTTTCATAATTGTTATTCTAGTATAGGAATATTTTATTCAAGGAATATTATTTTTCAGGAATAAATTGAGAAATAATTATAAACTATTTTTTTAAACTTTTGCATTTATTGATGTATATTGACTTCCTGAATATTTAAAATTTTATAATCGACGAATATGTATGTATATTATGTAGTTGCCCTAAATACAAAATGAGTTATCATGCATTATGCCATAGGTTATTAGGCTGCGACAAAAATATAGTTATATATTATTAAATT